ACTGTGCCTGAAACCTTTCTGAACACCACAATATCTCATTTAGTGTTGATGACAGACTGTGTCAAAGTCTTTAGTCCCAAAGGTCTTGTGACTGTTTTATCTGTACCCGTAGGTAACTAGAGGGTAATTTTGGATCCTGATCAGAGGAGTGTACTAACCTCTCAAAGTCCCTTAACAGGGCTTTGACTTAACGATTTGGTGTTTTTTGTTTTGTTTTTTGGAAAAAAATAGAAAAAAGTAGGATGTGGAATCCTGTTCGAGTATGTAACGCAACCAGCCTGAAGTCACACATTTCTCAGAAATGGCATCTTTACCGGTAAACAGTCGGATTTCCCGTATCCGCAGAACATTTTCATCCTTGGTAAATCCTGATGCATTTCATTTGGTCAAGAGAATTGAAAATTAAGAGAAATGGTCAAAAAAGATGAACAGACGTGTCCGCTTTCCCGGCCTCAATGGGTTAAGGTAATAAAAAGTTTGGACTTGAGCTTTAGGGGAAAGCTCCGCAGCAGTGAGCTTACAGCTTAGAGACAGCACAGCCTGTTTTTAGTATGTATATAAGAACCTTGGTTTGAGACGACCATTGGCATGTACTTGTTCTTTCTCCCTGTTGCCAAGGTTACTACAACCGTATGCCACAAAAAAATACTGTATTGTTTCTATGAAATTCAAGTGAAGAATATCGACTATCAGCTGTGTTTGTGGCCGCAGATGCTACGCAGACAAACGCATTTCTTCCGTTTCTTTTTAGGCATTTTCCTAAAAAATTGACATCCGTTAGATACATATATATTAGCTCCATATGTTCTCCACTTGATACAAGCAGTTGCCACAACTGTACACGCCACAAAAAAGAGCATTTTGACTCGGAATCAGTTAATATTTACAATGTACTCAAGGAGATTTACTTCCTGTCCCTCGGACTAGGACTTTTGCGACACTGTGTGATGTCAGCTGCAACCAGCAATACACACGGCCAAATCACACATTGGTTGTGGTTGTCTGCCCAATTTTACTCATCGTTCTGAAACCAATAGGTTAAAAAATGAGGAAGATCACAGGATATTGATTTGATATTTATACTGATATATCTTGCATCTAGGGATGTAAAAAAAACTATGAATTTTCATGACCGACCACCGAGCCTCATTAACCGGTTGAAACCGGTTAACCGCATAGTTTAAAATATTAGACGTTCTTTGAAATAACAGCCATTTCGAGCCACGTACTTCTCGAAAGTGCAGCTATGCATTCTACTGGATCAGAGCCGAGACAGCGGCAGCAAAACCCGCAACAGCTTCGGCACCTTTGCGCACAGAGAACTGCTTTTTTAATCTTCCCATTCTTCTGTGCTGCGGGTTAAAGCTTTTTAGCAGCAAAAAGCGGCTCATTCACATGGTCAGAGCAACGAGTGACGAGCCGCGTCTCGCAGGTCTCCTCTAAAGTTTAAATACAAATGATGTGTGTGTGGAGCTGATCTACTGACAAGGACCATCAGCACAAACATGTTCCATGTGCTTTGACTGAAGCCGCGTATTTGCGAGGATCCGTTGAGCTGTGTGACACAGAGGAGCGCGACAGACCGGTATGTGTGTGTGTGTGTGTATATGTGTGTGTGTGTGCTTGTATGTGTATGTGTATAAATGTAAGCTCCAATGTAGTTCTGACCCGCACCAGTGTGCAACTTTGGCGGTAACAGAGGGGAGAGATGATGCGTGTGGATGTTACGTATCAATGGAGGGGGAGAAGTGTGGGTGTGTGTGTGCGCGCCCATGCGTGTGCATGTGTGCGTGCATATGTGGCGCGTGCGGCATGAGAGCCGTCCCGGAGTTTACTGATACATCGGCGCGCACAGCTAGATACGGACCCGCTTGTCACACCGTGCAAATAGGGCTTAAAATAGCGTTATTAAGAGACCTCGCCTCTACCCCTTATCTTATTTTTAACCGACAGCTTTGACCGGTTAACGCTGTGACGGTCAACCACCGGTTAAACGGTCACCGATTTACATCCCTACTTGCATCCCTATCTATTACTGTTGTTATGGCTTGAATCTGAGCCACAGCAAAAATAGGGGTGACGAGGTGGAGTTAAAGTGCTCAAAAGTATATTTAATTGGAAAACACAAGAACAAATATTAATATGTACAAAAAGGTATAATATGGTGTGTTATGTAAAGTCAGTGGTGTAGGTGCAGGTAATGCTTGTTGTGCAATATTCCAGGCTGACCATCTCAGCCTGGAAATGGTCCCTGTCCTGTGGAAGACCTCCTGTGTGATCCCGGTTCCTAAAATGGCACACGCCAAGGAACCGGCTCACTACAGACCAGTCGCACTGACCTCACACCTGATGAAGACCATGGAGCGGCTCATCCTCACCCATCTCCGCTCTGCGGTCAGCCCCACCCTGGACCCGCTGCAGTTTGCCTACAGGCCCAACATTGGCGTAGAGGACGCCGTCATCTACTTACTGCAGCGGACGCTCTCCCACCTGGAGCCCGCTGGGAGCACTGTGAGGGTCATGTTCTTCGACTTCTCCAGTGCTTTCAACACGATAAGACCGGCACTGCTGCGGGGGAAGATGGAGGACGCGGGAGTGGACAGTAGCCTCACTGCATGGACCATCAACTACCTCTCGGACAGACCACAGTACGTGCGGCTGCGCAGCTTTGAGTCGGAGGTGGTAGTCTGCAGTACTGGGGCCCTTCAGGGCACTGTCCTCTCACCGTTTCTCTTTACCATCTACACTTCAGACTTCACATACGACACACACAGCTGTCACCTGCAGAAGTTCTCCGACGACTCCGCCATCGTGGGCTGTGTGTCTGAGGGGAACAAACTGGAAAATCGGTCGGTTATCACAGACTTTGACGACTGGTGCGAGCGCAACCACTTGTGCTTGAACACCAGTAAGACAAAGGAGATAGTCATTGACTTCAGGAGAAAACCACTTTCCCACATGCTGCTGAACATCCAGGGGGAGGACATTGAGCTGGTGGACAGCTTCAAGTACCTGGGTGTTCACATTAACAATAAACTGGACTGGTCTCATAACACCAACGCCCTGTACAAGAAGGGCCAAAGTCGCCTCTTCCTTCTGAGGAGGCTGAGGTCCTTCAGAGTGAGCAGGCCTCTGCTCAGGACTTTTTATGACTCTGTGGTAGCCTCTGCCATACACTACGCTGCCGTGTGCTGGGCCCCGGGCAGCACAGAGCGGGACAGGAGCAGACTGAACAAGCTGGTCAGGAGGGCCAGCTCCACTCTGGGCTGCCCCCTGGAGGAGGTGAGGGACAGGAGGGTGCTAGTCAAAGTCGCCTCCATCATGGACACCACCTCCCACCCACTGCATAGAGGAGCTGAGGAGCTCCTTCAGTGGAAGACTGAGACACCCTCAGTGTGAGAAGGAGTGCTACCGCAGGGCCTTTATCCCCACTGCTATCAGACTGTACAACAAGTCACTTTAATTCACTGCATTATGACTAAAAAAACCTGCACTACTATTGACACTTCTTTCTTAGATGCCACTTTTTGTACATAATATGTCCTGCATCAACATGTTTGCACATTTCTTTCTTTTCGCACAATCTTGAGTGTTTCTATCCATGCCAAATGTGACATGTAAATTTCTCCTGTGTGAGATTAATAAAGTTTATCTTATAGGTCTCGTAAGGTCTACTCCAAGGTACTGGAGAGGAGGTTACGGCCGATGGTCGAATCTCGGATCCAGGAGGAGCAGTGTGGTTTTCGTCCCGGTCGCGGAACACTGGACCAGCTCTATACTCTCCATCGGATACTCGAGGGTTCATGGGAGTTCGCCCAACCTATCCACATGTGCTTTGTGGATTTGGAGAAGGCGTTCGACTGTGTTCCCCGGGGTGTCCTTTGGGGGGTTCTCCGGGAGTACGGGGTCGGGGGTCCTCTGCTGAGGGCCATCCGATCCCTGTATGACCGGAGCCAGAGCTGTGTTCGCATTGCCGGCAGTAAGTCAGACCTGTTCCCGGTGAATGTTGGCCTCCGACAGGGCTGCCCTTTGTCACCGGTTCTGTTCACTGTATTTATGGACAGAATATCTAGGCGCAGCCAGGGGTCGGAGGGGGTCCGGTTCGGAGACCACAGGATTTCATCTCTGCTGTTTGCGGACGATGTTGTCCTGTTGGCTCCAACGAACCAGGACCTGCAGCATGCACTGGGACGGTTTGCAGCCGAGTGTGAAGCGGCTGGGATGAGAATCAGCACCTCCAAATCCGAGGCCATGGTGCTCGACCGGAAAAAGGTGCCTTGCCCTCTGCAGGTGGGTGGAGAGGTCCTTCCTCAAGTGGAGGAGTTCAAGTATCTCGGGGTCTTGTTCACGAGTGAGGGAAGAATGGAGCGTGAGATTGACAGGCGGATCGGTGCAGCGTGCGCAGTTATGCGGTCGCTGTATCGGACCGTTGTGGTGAAGAGGGAGCTGAGCCGAAAGGCAAAGCTCTCGATTTACCGGTCAATCTTCGTTCCCTCCCTCACCTATGGTCATGAGCTTTGGGTAATGACCGAAAGAACGAGATCGCGGATACAAGCGGTCGAAATGAGCTTCCTCCGCAGAGTGGCTGGGCGCTCCCTTAGAGATAGGGTGAGGAGCTCAGTCACACGGGAGGAGCTCGGAGTAGAACCGCTGCTTCTCCACGTCGAGAGGAACCAGTTGAGGTGGCTCGGGCATCTGTTCCGGATGCCTCCTGGACGCCTCCCTGGGGAGGTGTTCCGGGCACGTCCCACCGGGAGGAGGCCCCGCGGAAGACCCAGGACACGCTGGAGGGACTATGTCTCTCAGCTGGCCTGGGAACGCCTTGGGGTCCCCCCGGACGAGCTGGAGGAAGTGTGTGTGGATAGGGAAGTCTGGGCGTCTCTGCTTAGACTGCTGCCCCCGCGACCCGGCAACGGATAAAGCGGAAGAAAATGGATGGATGGATGGATCTTATCTTATATGAATGTGGGTGCATAATTGAAAAGACAACTCAAGGGTGCATGGTTGAGGGAGAGCCAGGGAGGGGATGCAACCGGCAGCAGGGCAGGTTTGGAATGGCCCCCGGGAGCGTGCAGAGAGAGTGTGTGTCCAACTTTCCTCCAGGTTATATGCACATGTGCCAACTAGTCCCCCTGGGCAAACGAGAGAGAGGAGCGGCAGGACGAGGGAATGGGCAAGTCCCAGGACCCTAGCCTAGCCCGTAACACGGTTGAAAACAGAACACATAGATTGTTACTGCAGTCTTAAATAGTTTCAGAAAAATACATTTCTCTCTATGTAGCAGCCGGTTAAACTGGCCCAACTTATCTTTGAAGATCTGACAATCCACCAAAAAATAACCTTAATTATTATTAATATTTTAAGACGTCAAAAAAAATGATGATGCATTTGCTCTCTGAAACTGCTTTATTTTGGTGCAAATGGTGCTCTCTGAAAGTGTTAGGACTGTCAATATGAGCTCTGTGGTCTCACAACCCTTGCACACTTCTGCTCTACTTTTTAAACACTGAGCAAGTCTAAGCTCTGTAGTACTGAGTACTGACGTTCTACATAATTCATTAGCAATGATGCTTTTATAAACAGGGTCTGGTGCAGCTTTTGGAGAGACTTTTTCCTCCATTGCAGAGTTTAATTCTGTAAATATTTATACAAATTTGAATGCTTAAATTACAGGGTCAAATGCTTTGTTGTGTAGATCCCTACGCTTGGGCTTCTGAACAGATTTTCTGTTTTTCTGTAGGTGCTCCTATCAATTGTCCACAGTTTAATCAATAATAAAATTAATTTTATCCACAAATAATCAATTGATAATTAGTCCTTCTCCATTCCTCCCATTTTTACTGTATATGACTGAAAACCACATCACTGCACACACATTAGTGGGGAATGAGGAAGCTTGCCTTACGCTGTGAAAATAATCTAGCGCAAACCCTGCATACTATTTTTGTCAACTTTGTTTTATTTTCAGAGTAAATTATGTTGCAATAATCTGCATGTTTTCATTCTGTTTTTTTAATTATTATGTTGTGGTTTGACGTCAATGATGAGCCACTTGGAGTTTGTTGAGAATTATTATCCATAGACCATTACCTTCAGCAGTGACTCCCAAAGTGGTGTGTGAGACATTTGGCTGAGGGGAGCCTAGATTATTTAAATATAAACTTCCAAGAGCTTTCCAGTTTATTTCACCAATTATTTGACACAAATACAGCACATGTTTTGACATCTCAAATTATTACTGCTACACATTCTGCACCTGGGGTCGCAAGTTAATTTCACACATTTCACAAATGTAAGGCTATAACTCTTCAACAACTCTTCAAAGCCTGCATCCCGGAGCCCGAGTGCAATATCTCCGGGAGCAGGCATAAAGAGCTCTATGGTCAGTCAGTACTAGAGAATGGAGTGTTACATTGTCAGACAGGACATCTGTGAGAAGAGTCCACCGATGCATTAAAAGAAGTAGGGTTTCAGAGTTGCGGGTTTGTTGGCAAGACAACCATGGAAGCTTTCTCCTTATTAAAATTGTCTGTAACTGCATATGAGCTATGAGCTGTTTTGTGCTTCTCTGAAGCTACAAAAAGTTAACATAATTCAATCTAACAAGGAGAAAAAGGTCCGAGGCACGTTTTGAGCAACGTTTTGGTGTTGTGCATAAGTGACGGTGACGGCTAGAGTTTGTGCCAAGTTTGCTGGTTTTAGTTAGGTTTCTGTTCTGGTTTGGCTCTAAATATCAAGGAATTGAAGCAAGAGTAAGAGGAATGTTTAGCAAATATCATTGCTGGCAAAGATGTGGCTCCACTCTCCATGGGCTCAGTTAATGGCAAAGGAGATAGCTAGGCTAAATGCTAGCGACTCTCTCGTATGTAATACGATCCAATCCTTTCAATCTGCAAGTGGAGTTAACCAGTCCCATCAGTTAAAAGAGCTCAAATCCAGACCTTAGTGCAAAATTAAATTTGTACGATGTTGAAGTAAGACCAGGCATGTTTTGACCTCTCTCAAAACCTCTCTTTTGGGTCTATGATGAAGACCCAAAAGGTTGGTGTGCCTCAGATCTTTTCCTCTTTGTTTTCCTCTTGATTTTCAGGCGTATCCTTGATGAGCACCTGACTCCTCACGTTTACCCGTTTTGATCCCGTTATTCCTCTTGTATTTGTAAGAATCTATCCAAAATGTTTGTTTTCCTTGACTTGATGGGATGATGCATATTAATACAAGATTTGTGGTGTGTCATACACTTTTTACATGTGTATGTATTATAATTATTGTCATTATTGATTGCTGCCATATGACTTCAACGGGGAAATTCCTCAACCGCTGGACTTCAGTTATTCTTTTTAGTCTGTGTTCTTGAAAACGTTCTTTCTCCACCCAGTCTCCTGGTGTTTATTCTCCCTTTCTCCTCTGGGGGAGACCCTCCCAATAACACTCCTCCTGTCCAGATGTAAGACCTAAACATTCATCAAACTGAACATGAACTATTGCAAAGAGAAAACTATAGGCACCAGACAAGTATAAGCAGGACAAACCACTTATGTATGTAAAACATAATAAGAACATGTTTAAAGACATGCTGATGAGAAAACATTTTTATTGTTGTTGCAGGAATCAACCCTCTGTCTTTTGACCCAGCGGCTAACAATGAGCCTTTGCAGTTTGGAGGCTCCAGTGTACCGTTGGTGAGCGAGTGTCCTCCTCTAGAGAATGGAGCTGAGAATTCCAAGAAGAGGAAGCGATCCACTCTCCCCACCGGTAATTTAAATTCACTGTCTTTCTTCGATCATTTCTATTTTAATACATTTAATGCAATCATGTCTTATCTTGGTGTTTCATATATAACCTAAAACATTTCTAACTTCTTTGGACCCTGTGGCACATATAGCAATGTGGCCAATGTATGTATTTGTCATTTGTGAGAGCGCCCCCTGTAGGGGTGCAACGGTTTGAAAAAATCACGGTTCCGATCGTACCTCGGTTCAGAGGCCACTGTTCGGTTCATTTTTCACACAAAAAAGTATTTTTAATAAACACGGCTCATGTGGACTCGGCACCTGCAGGAGGATCAGTGAGGGGCTGGTGCTCTGTGTACTGGGTGCAGCTCTGACTGCCACTCCCCTGACCTAGAAATGGATTAAGGGGAAGGAAATGGATGGATGGAAGGCATATCCCATCCATTCATCCAATTATGTCTTTTTAACATAATTAATGAAAAACAACACAAAGTGTTGAGCGCAACTGTGGATGCGCGGGAGAGTTGACTTTAGCCCGGTCTGACTGTGCATGAAGTATAGTTGACAGTGAAGCCAAAATGCTCTCGTACAGGGGATTTAAATGACGCTGGGCTTTCAAGCTCCTCCGTGTGCCATGATTACGCTGTGTGTGGACTGAACAACATGCGCACAACTTTTTTTCATAAATCAAACCGCGGATCTGTCTGTACCGAGCCAAAGACGTTGATCCGAACGGATCACGGATCAGTGATGAACCGTTGCACCTCTAGCCCCCTGGGTTGAAAAATATTTCAAAAGTAATAATCTGGTTTCATAATTTTAACCAGTTTTACCAGTGTGTATCAGATTTGTTTTGATCCATCAACTGTTGTGTTGCTTGTGTAAAGAAACATTGTAAGTAAGTAATCTTTATTTATATACCGCCTTTCACAGACCAGAGTCACAAAGCGGTTTACAATTGTTTTTTTTGGGCATTTTGTCCTCTCACTCCACACAGAGATGGGAGCGGGGTCGCCGAACAGGAGGCGCATGCCAGGCCTATTGTACATATTTTTAGTGGTAGGGGAAACCATTGTACCCGGAGGAAACCTACGCAGACACGGGGAGAACATGCAAACTCCACTCAGAAAGGCCCTGGTCCGACCGGGATTTGAACCCAGAACCTTCTTGCTATCCACTCAACCACCGTGCCGCCCATTGTCTTCAAATTTAGCTTGTGCGGCGTGCAGTAATTAATTAATTGCCACTTTTATTGTACATACAGTGCCTTGCGAAAGTATTCAGCCCCCTTGAACCTTTCAACATTTCGCCACATTTCAGGCTTCAAACATAAAGATATAAAATTTTAATTTTTTGTCAAGAATCAACAAGTGGGACACAATCGTGAAACTTTGTAAAGTCCTCCAAGGCAAATACTGTTGTGATTTAGGGATATACAAAAATAAATTGAATTGAAATTTGAACTTCGGAAACTGGCATTTTTCAACTGGGAAATGTCCCACATCCCAGTTGCCTGGAACACAGCATGGCATGGGCATTGCCCTGTGTCAGTTGATGCGATCTAATTAGAAATAATTGGATCTTTTGTTCATGATGCAACATTTGTTTATATACTGTAAAACACCTAGTAAAAAAATCTGTTTTTCACTAGTCTGACTTCACTTGTTAATTGTGTAAGCTAAATAAAACATTCTTCTGGGTTGAATACAAATATCTCCATTTCCTGTGAAGTGACACATACATAGGACAGTGAAGAGTTCTCTAATTGAACAGATGTAGACAAAGGGATGTCGCCAGTCTCTTCTCAACACATGCTCATCATTACAATAGCTCACTGCCTCATTATTCTTACAGATTAGCTGCAGATGCATCTGTCAGTCATGGACCATATTTTTCAATATCAGTGTTGCATCAAATAAGACATTTTCTGTTTTAAACCAATGTGTTCCATAAATGTGAAGAGCCAATCTGTATTTGCAATAATGGCAGCAATTTTTTTTTTAAGCCAACTCTTGTTCTTTTTATATGTTGTTGGTCCAGCTTCTGGATCATTTTTGTACCCATCTGTTGTCTTGAAATCTGTCTTTTATTTACCAATTAGAATTCTAATAATTGAGTGATGTACTTTTGTTCTAACATACTAAGTTTCAGTGCCTAGACTGAGATACAGTATGTCATCACCATTAATTAACAAGAGCTAGCACAATAGCACATCCAAGAAAACAATTATCTATAATTAAGAATTCTAGATTGTAAGGTATTTAGGTTTTGCAGTTATATAATTGCAAAAAATTGTATGCAATCATCACCATGCCACGTCATTCCAACACACTACTGTTCAGCGCATGTCTCCTCTGAAGTCCTATTGATCAGTAAATCAATCTACTGCCAGCTTTTTGAGTTTTTCCAGGCCTATAAGTCCATCTTTCTTTTACTCTTGTGTTTTAGCTGAAGTGATCCACAACATCCCTATGGACTCCAGCTCGATGTCGATGCCCATGTCAGAGCCAAGCGCCTGGGCCACAGCAATGAACAACTTGGGGATGCCTCAAATGGGACTGGGCACACAGACACTGTTGCCAGGTACTGCCCTACTGAAAAGTAATTCTGAAACATATTGTCGAACACTTAGACTCATAATGGATTTTCTGATACTCAAAAGGGCCATTTCCACGGGCTCGGCTCGACCCCCTTGGTTTACGGGCGTTTCCATCGGCTCGCTTTAGTCGCTACCCAGTACTTTTTTGTGATGGTTTGGCCCTGGTTGTAGCCGGGTCAAGTAGAAACCAAAACGATCTGACATAGGTGAATGACAAAATGTGATTGGTCAGAGGTGCTGTCAATCACTCTTCTTGGTGAGTCAGCTGCTGCAATGAAAAAAAAAATCATGATGCCTCAAGTTTCCAGCTGAAAATTATAAAATAACTCACTGAACGAGGTCAACAACTTCCTCAGTTTGAGGAGAGGACAACATTGATTGATGATGCCACCTGAAACGAGTACGTTCAAGCTTTTGCTGTTGTGATCATTCATTTCACAGTAGTCACTTTTAAGCTTCTTAACTTGTTGCACTGTGATGATGTCCGTGGATATCCATTCTCCTCCATCCTTAGCTTTGCAAACACTTTCTTGTTTCGGGTGGCACCATCAAGTTCACACTGGATTTGAAAAAGTACAGAGAAGCGGCTAAAGCGAGTCAGTGGAAACGGTTGCAAACCGGGTTGGTCGAGTCGAGTAGCGCCGAGCCCGTGGAAACGGCCCTCCTTAAATTTCCTGCGTGATCCATACATCCTTTACCCTGTGTCGGCCCTGCTCAGAAACACCTTTCCCCAAAGCCAGTCATAAATCGCAGCTCCTTTTTATCCAAGTCCAATTTTATATTTATAGCATTTCAGGTGTCTGTGACTGCGTTCATATTGTATAATGAAATTGTTCCCCTTACATAGTGCTTTAGAAGTAATCTTAAGAGTAACATCCAAAAATACTGTATTTGGAGTTGTAACACTTTTACCGCTATAGGGACTATGCTGACTACAATAATACATATAACAATGATTAATTTTCTTATCTGGAGAGTAGATGTGGCTTTCCTCACAATTGTCATGGGAACAGGATAGGTGTATGTCATATAGAGTTGTAATCGTTGTTGCACATACTAGACCCAAACCCAATAGATATAAAAGAGGACATGACACTGAATAATTGCAGAAAATATCATACTTCAAGGAGAAATGGCTGGAGAGAAAGAGGACCGTGGAAGGCTCTGGGCTGTAGCATTCGGCCTGCCTGCTACATGTTGCATAGAGAGTTGATACACCAACCAAGAGCCCAAAATACTTTGGTCTGGACATGTGCCTCAGCAACTCGCAACACTGCCACATTAATGTATACTGTATGTTTAACCTTTATTGTTGAGAAGTGCCCTGGGGTACTGGGAGCAGACCACCCTCACTCAGCCAGTCGGCCTGCCCAAAATGTCATGTCTTCTTTTACATAAGAAAGTCATATATATGATAAAGACAGCATGTTCTAGTCTTATTTCTTCACAGTATATTACTTTAAGTATGTATTTTTCCACCAGCTTTTAAAGTGAAATAATTACAGGCCAAATGTATTGTAATTGTTTGAACGATGAGCCAATCAGCATCATGGTTTAGCATGTCAGAAATGTTTCCCCTCCATCAGGAAGATCCAGACCACAACTTGACCCAGATGGAAAGATGTTGTATGAAGCTCAACTTAAAAAATTCAGACCTCCCATTTACTACTGTATGGCCTTCTTCTGTTACAAATTAATTACCTGTTTCGTTGGATTTATTTGAGTTCCATTCCAGATTGTTCATTGAAAGACTTGTGTTTGCAATGCGTATTTACATTTACATATTTTATACCCTGTCTAGATTTATTAAAACACTCAATCCTCAGTTATCATTATGCTAAGCCAAGCTACTCATTGTAAATTGGAGAATAAACCAAAATCACATTGCATGGACAAGATCCACTGCCAATGTAAATATGTAATAGTTTTGCTTTTGTTTAGTTTTTTCCTCAAGTGTGGATGCCTACCACCAATGTATACAGGTATTTCCTACAGTTTTCTTTGCAGCAATCCAATAGTTGAACAATAGTTCTGGCATTGTGTTACGTCCGGCTCAGCTAGGGAGTAAGAACGTAGCAAAAAACCAGATGGAATTGGTATTTGTCCATTTTAAAGTAAGTTTTTAATGATGACAGAAAATAAAATGAATTTGGAAACGAAGGAGGAATACAGAAATAATAAGAATATTGATAATACAAAACGAAAGTCACTATACCAAACTAGAGCTCAAAATTACAAAGTGACAACGTAAGGGAACAGAACAATACAGGAGGAGCAGTGACGGCAGACTGGCACGGACAAGTCCAGCTGCCCCGAGCTGACGGCAAGTGGGAGGTTTTATAGGGACGCCCTCAGTGATGGATCCCCGGGGTTGGAGGACGTCCACGCTCTTGTCCCACTACAGCCACTCAGGTGTCAGACCGGCCACGCCGACACTTCAAGTCCCTCCACTAGATCTCCCGCACAGACACCTGTACAGAACACGAAGGCGCACACACAAACACAAAGGGCAACAGGAGCGCCATCTAGTGCACAACTGGCACAATAGGTTGTTGCCCGTAACACTCCCCCCCCTTAAGAGCGAAACTAATCATTTTCTATACACACGGTTAGGTAGCCAATTGGAACTACGGTAATAACCAGGGGGTACTATAGCGATGGACTGTCAAAACCTGGACAGGGCATCAGCCAACACATTTTCCACTCCTTTCTTGTGACGGATTTCGAGGTGAAAGTCCTGCACCATCAGAGCCCACCTCATCAGCCGCTGATTATGGTTAAACATGCGGGACAAAAAGACAAGAGGGTTATGGTCTGTAAAAACCAACACAGGCAAAGAACTCGACCCAACATACACCTCAAAATGTTGAAGAGCAAACAACAAAGACAACGTTTCCTTTTCAATGGTCGAATATGACAATTGGTGCTTATTAAATTTCTTCGAATAATAGCCAACTGGGTGGTCAACTCCAGCGGCATCTTCTTGAAGAAGAACAGCCCCGGCCCCTTCAGCACAGGCGTCTACCTCCAACTTGAAAGGACGGGAACAATCAGGTGCTGCAAGGACAGGCGCATGGCTCAACAAAGCCTTTAAACTGGAGAACGCATGGTCACACTCCTGCGACCAAACAAAATCAACCTTGGGGCTGAGCAAACGAGTCAGTGGCAACGCAACGGTAGAAAAGTTCGGGCAAAAACTCAGATAATAACCGGCCATACCCAAAAACCGGCGGAGAGTGCGGCGCGTAGTGGGTAACGGACAAGCAAGGATGGCAGCGACTTTCGCTTCCACAGGCCTTACTTGACCCTCGCCTACTTCTCGGCCCAGGTAGGTAACGGTGGCTTTCCCGAACTCACATTTGGCCAAATTCACCGTGAGAGAGGCCTGTGCAAGGCGTGAAAACACGTTAGTCAAAATAGAAATATGCTCCTCCCAAGTGGCTGAATGCAGAATTAAATCATCTAGATAAGCATTGCAGTTAGACAAGCCACTCAACACCGTATTAACAAGCCTTTGAAACGAGGCTGGGGCGTTGCGCATCCCAAACGCCATGACTGTATACTGCAGAAAATAATCCGGTGTTACAAAAGCCGAGATCTCAGAGGCACGCTTCGTGAGCGGCACTTGCCAATATCCTTTTAGTAAATCCAGTTTGGTTACGAATTTTGCAGTTCCTAGATTGTCTACACAATCCTCCATGCGAGGCATTGGGTAGGAATCTGGTTCTGTGACCGCGTTCACCTTTCTAAAATCAGTAATAAATCTGGGAGTCCCATCAGGTTTCTCCTCCACTAAGCATGGCGAACTCCATGCACTGGAGCTATGAATGGCAAGGCCGTGCTCTAGGAGATATTCTGCCTCCTGCTTCATAAGCGCACGCTTAGCGGGGTTCACCCTATAGGGATGTTGCCGAATGGGTTTTGCTCCTTTCACATCGATGTCATGTGTTAACGCGTTAGTTCGAGATGGTACATCACTAAATAAACAGGAAAAATCACGAACAATAGACAGTATGTCCTCTCTCTGAGTATTGCTCAAATGACCCAATTTCTCGGGCAGCTCCTTAACCATTTGAGAATTCGAGAGTCGCGCAACTTTAGCCTGCCGAGGAAAAACTGCTGCGTCTGTGGCAGCCCGGTCAGTCTCCACTATCACCAGCGCTGCGGCACAAGTGGACGGGGACGCCACCGGTGGTTCAACACTGCGTTCATAATATTTCTTTAGCATGTTAACGTGACACACACGGGACTTACGACGGCGATCAGGAGTACAGATGACAAAATTTGTGTCATTTATTTTCTCTGTTACCTCATAAGGTCCAACAAACTTTGCAGACAACGCATTTCCCCTGAGAGGGAGCAAGACAAGCAACTTCTCTCCCACAGAAAAATCACGTTTAAAAGCCTTTTTATCAAAATGGACCTTCATACGGTTCTGGACTCCAGCAAGCGTAGACTTCGCCAGTTTGTTCGCAGTCACCAACCGCTCATGAAAATTACTTACAAACTCAAGCACATTATGGGGCGCAGACGAAGGAGCCAGGAACTTTTCCTTTAAAGCTTTCAAAGGACCGCGTGGACTATGACCAAACACCAAGTCCGCCGGACTGAAGCCAAGAGACTCCTGTACCGCATCACGTGCCGCAAATAATACAAAGGGAATCCCCTCATCCCAAGTATTTCCCGTTTCCAAACAGTATTTCCTCAACATTGATTTTAACGTCTGATGCCACCGCTCGAGCGAACCCTGGGACTCTGGATGATACGCGCTGGAAACTACATGCTTTACATCCAGACTTCGGATTAATTCATTGAATAGCTTTGATTGAAAATTTGCCCCTTGATCTGACTGAACGACCCGGGGAAGACCAAACAAAGAGAAGAAGTTTGTTAACGCCTTCACTATGGAGCGGGACGTGCATTTACGTAGCGGAATGGCTTCAGGAAAGCGCGTTGCAGCACACATAATGGTGAGCAAAAACTC